ACTTAGTGTGATTGGCTTTATGATTGAAGGTTACGCCTTAGAGTCTTGTTTACTGCTTTGTAATTGGTTAGAGTTTTGAAAATGAATAAAGAGAGTTTGAGTTGGTCTTGGCGAGTACATGAGGACAGACGCAGTCCAGCCCTAGAGAGTCTTGGGGCGAGCCTTGAGGCAGTCCAGTTTTGGGCTAGTCTTGGGTCAGCCTTGCGATAGTCTTGGGGATTTTTCCCCAGGGCGCTGTGTCTTATAGAGTGCTCGACTGATCGACTAAGACGAAAGTTGAAACGTATTTCGTTGTGCGTGTCTTATTTGACTGTAAAGTATAAGTGACGTTCTCGATCCCGTACCTCAAGGGGACACGAGAGAGAGACGAGACGAGATTCCCCCTGACACGTGTGGAGAACCCCAGGGAAAAGATTTTACCCCTGATATAGCAAAGAGGCAATACATGGGTCACAACTTTCTTGTTTGTTTCACGGCCTACCCTGATTTTGTGAGATTCTGTTCCCGTCATTTATTCACTTCAATAATCTTTTATCGAACAAAGAAAAACAAAAAAACAAGAGACTTATGTGAGTCTGCACGTGCAGATGGAACCTCATACAAACTACGATCCTATCGTACAAGTTATTGATAAGCCACAATCGTTTTGACCTATCACCTTACTATCCATGCCAACTAAATACAATTATGAAATGAAATGCTACGAGATTTGGTCTTAAAATATGAATGTTTCAATCGTCATGGAAATACGCTCTGAGTCTAGTTTTGGATTCTCTGGTGTGTTAACGACTATACGCGACACAAGCAGTGATTAGTACCGGCAGTATTGACCATGCCGTCGCAGAGTCGATGTGACTAAGCAATGTCTGAGTGAGTAGTTTGTAGTAAAATGGATAAACAAATTTAAACAGTCTTGGTGAAATAAAAAACGTCCACTAGCTTGTAAATACCGCGAAGTTGTTCTATATTTGGAAATCACATTTTTGTATATGTTAAGATGCAGATACCTTACCGCAAAATTATATAGATTGATACGAATTAAAACACTCATATTTAAATAACAGCTCAGCTATGCAATTAACTACAAATACCTATTAATAAAAGAAAATCAAACTTATATATTTGCTTATTTCAGTAACATCAAATGTCGTTCTAACAAAAACGATGGCGATTTACAAATAACTTTGAAATTCACATGATGAATGTGAAACGTTCACTCAGCAAAACACATTGAATCACATATTGAAATTATAATAAATGTCGTTTAAAATTCCATGTCAAACAAATTTGCTGTCTGCATCATATTATGCAGCCGGCAAATTGTCTACCAATAGCCAAGAATGATTTTGTGAATGATACTATCCTATATTTTTTTCTAAACGTTGTTATAAACTGTCATGTCAAATGACACAACAATACACGTCACCAGTAATATATAATTGCGACATTGTACGTCCGATGAATGTGAACATTCATGAGTTAGTCTACTACCCATGCGTGTAGCAAACTGATGTACATTGTGGTCATGTTTTATACCAGTTATTGTTTACACCGGATCACCACGAAGTTGATAAAAATCACTTCCTACGTAGACACTCAGGCTTATTTTAGTAGACAAATGCTAAAAACCAGCAAAATATGCGAAAAATTTATCCAAGACAAAACATAAATTATAAACAAAGGTTCTTATAACAAATCATAGTGACAAAATATTATTCTACTCAGTTTATTATTGAATGCCATAATGATTCAAATAAAATATTGGGGTTATCAATGAACAAATTGGCAATGTACAAATCAAAACAAAACAACTCCCCAAAGAGTTGAATGTGAAGCACAATAATACTGAATATAAGATATAGAATCAAAGAGAAATTGTAGATGCCTTCCATGTTTATTTTGTTAACATTGGTGCCAATCTTGCTTCAAATATCAACAATTCTTTCAACGATTTTCACCAGTGTCTTAGTAAGTCTTATAATAACTCATTTTCATTAGCCCAGAAGAGGTTGCATTAATGTTACGAAATCTTGACCAAAATAAATATCATGGCTGTGATAACCTGCCAGAAAAACTTCTTAAACAGGCTGCAACAATAATTTCCAAACCACTGTGTTTTATTTTTTAATATGTCCTTTTCCCATTTTGCAAAATGCAAAGGTAATCCCCCTTTACAAAAAATGCGCAGTTGATGTCCCTAGCAATTATATACCAATATCTGTGTTGCTCCTCTTAGGTAAAGTTTTAGATTGCAGCAGTATTTAGAGAAACAAAATATTGTTTTTGAACATCAGCACGGTTTTCGCAATTATTACAGCACAAGGCTTTCAGTGATTAAATTAATTAACAACTTACTGAACCAAATTGATGAAGGAAAAGTAACTGTTGGCATTTTCATTGATTTCACGAAAGCCTTTGACACCATAAATCACGATATACTCATGTCAAAACTTAATCACTATGGCATACGGGGTATTCCAAATAAATGGCTCAGAAATTATTTGCAACACAGAACACAGTTCTTCACCTCTCCCTATATCATGTGGTGTCCCTAAAAGGTCAGTTCTTGGTCCAACATTATCTTTTGATTTATATTAATGACTTTCCAAATTTTCAACTTTAGGTTATTTGCAAATGACTCAAATTTATTTCACACATTCCCATCAGGTTCTGACATAGAATTACCTACTGTTAATGATCATCTGAGTAATCTAGTAGATTGGTGTGATGCAAATAAATTGACAATAAATTGCTCAAAAACAAATTACATGAATATTTGGGGCCAACGTACATCATTTAGAGTAGTAGAGTCATTGTCTGTAAAAACGACCCCATTGAACAAGGTTGAAATGGCGACTTTCGTGGAATAGAAATTGACATGGGAAATACATATAACAAAAATTACTAATCTTATCCGGGAAAAAGATAGGCGTCCTACTGAAGTTACGACATTGTTGTTATACCAAACACTAACTAAACCCCAATCACTTATAGATTAGAAGTCTTGGAAACACAGATCCTACAAATTTGAAAAGCATTATAACAGCACAAAAACAGATTGCAAGATTGGTAACTTTCTCTGATTTCTGCACCTATTTTCAAACAACTTAGAATTTTTGATGTCCCTAAATTGTGCACATATTCAATTTGTGATGTTGTATACTTAGTATTATATTATCCATAGTAATCTTCCACACTCTCCACAAACATAGAACTTTATTAAGTATATTCAGCACTGTCACAATACCAGCCAAAGACACCGATGTGACTTATTTGTTCCAAAAATGAATACAACTGTAGGCCAATTTTCAATCCCGTCTTTAGAAACTAAATTATCGAAAAGTCTGCCTGTCACATTAAGATCACAACCAAAGCATATATTCAAACAATAACGTTAAGGATTTACTATTGGCGAGATACACCACATAACTTTATTTTGTTTCTTTATCAAATTCTTCTCTTTTGTAAAAACAGTATTGTCATGAAGGACTATATGGCTGCATTTATTCTATTTACTTAGTCAGTTGAGCGCCAAATATTTGATATTTGTATATTTATTTATATTTAAAGGAATTTGACAAGATTAGTTTCCTAAAGCTATTTCAAATCCCTTTTACCTATAAATATATTTATTTTTTTCTAATTCAGAATTGTATTTTTCACGTATAATATTTATTAATAAAGCATCATATCATATCATGTCATATCATATCATATATCACAATGTGCATGTATATAGTGAAACTTGACTTAAGTTATTATTGCTGAAATTATGACAAATTAAATTGACAAATCGTGAAATGTATGCTTCATTGGCACACACGTGACACATTCAAGTTGACAGAGACAGTGTTTCGCTGTTAATAAATACTTTGGTAATTTGAATGTAGAACTTATGAAAGATTGAGGCCACCCTGACACTTGCACGATTCTGTGGCACTGTCATGAAGTGTACGTAAACCCATCTTGACTTCGTGCCTTGTCGGGACGAGAATTTTGAAATGTTCAAAATTTTGGTCACGACAAAATTTCGCGACCGGATCGTGAACTATGCGCAAACTTTTCGTGACCTTGTCGTGAAGTTGTTGGAACGATGCGGGAGGCGCGCCATGCCTTGACTGTCACGAACTGTCACGAATAATTCACGAACAGCTCACGTCCGAATTGCGCAAACTCGTCGTGCCAATGCAGGAAGTGCATAAATTATGCGCAAACCATGCGTGAACTCGTCGTGCCAGTTTGATGTTTATGTCAATGTGGACACTGATGGGCACGCTGTCGTGAACTCGTCGTCAACTAGTCGTGAACAGTGCGGGAGCCTCCCAGTTCGTGCTCCAAAATGGCACGACTTGACCCGACAAGCAAGTGGTCAAAAATCATGCAAGTGTCATGGTGGCTTAGGGCTACCGACCAACACACACAGGTATTTAGCATCGTCCACTGATAATCACATGCGCATTTCATATCTTGATAAATGTTAATGACTTTTATAGCATATTCCATTAAAAATGGGGGCATGTACCATTCCCTATTACACATGTCATGCAGACATAACTCGCTAAACGCTTTCAAAATTACAATAATTCCATCTCAACTATTATTTAAACATGGTTTGTAACATAGTTTTTAAGACAGATGAATACCTAGTCTCTTCGGAATATGAAGTCCTCCCCATGGAAAAATGTCTTGGACTGCAGCCGCGACATTTTAGATTGCGTCATACCATACATCCCAGGAGAACCAAACCCACAATCTGGCTAATACCAGTCTAATACGCAAGGCACTTCTCCGACACTCTGATATGCAGTTGCAGTATGATGAAAAAACATATGTTCAAGATATCAACTCGTCTCGTCTTATGTCTGTGTGTTGTATTTTTGACATTGACTTGGTTTCTAGGTGGGGACCTCTCTTATATAAGATGGTGGGACAATCAACAACGCTCGGGTTCTGAGACGACTGACCATGAACAGGAAAGCGGGACTGACTCACCCAAGACCATGCTTGGAGCTGATCAGGAAAACCAATTAATTGAAACGGGTAATGCTATACAGAAACGTCATGGCTTTATCGTTGTGCAGTTTTTGAACCATGCTTACTTGAATATGACAAAGAGTTGGATTTGCAACGTGGATTGTTTCGATGACGTATTACAGCATACGGTATTTATTACTACTGACCAAGCTGCGTACGATGGATTACATTGTTGGCGACCTCACCTGAATGTGTTGCTTATAGAATTCGGAACAGAAGATTCCATGTCATTTGGGCATATCAATTATTATCAATTTGGACTGTTCCGTGTAAGGATGATTAATAAGTTGTTGGCGAGTAATATTAGTGTATTAATTACTGAATCCGATGCTGTGTGGTTTGAAAACCCTCTTCATTTTTTTCGTAAACCGACACATCTATCAGATATGCACGTCAATGTCGAAAATTACAATAAAGGAGATCGTTTCTGTGCTGGTTTCTTGTTTCTAAATGCGACAAGAGCGACACAAAGAGTGTGGAATACATTGACCATGAGACTAAGTGAGCGTATGAGCACGTTGAAAGACGGACAACGTAAAATTAGTGCTAAAGGTTCGGAACAAATAATGTTATCGAACATCGCAATTCGTGAAGACCCAATCGAGCTGAATTATCTTCCCAAAGACAGATTTGTCAGTGGGCAGTGGTACAATAGCGTAAAAATGCAACACAACCTTACTCCAGTTGTTCTGCAAAACAACTATGTTATTGGCAACGAGAACAAAATTAGAAGAGCCAAAAAATGGGGGCACTGGTTTTTATCGCGTGATATGGTGCAATGTATAGTCAATGTCTGTCAAAATTTAACTCCCAAAAAGCATTAAATGATGTGATTTAATCACGACGTAGCGATTACAATTAGCAAACATAATCTGTTTTGTTGATTGATCATTGCTTAAGCATCGGTTTTTATTTTGTTCTATTTAAAATATGTTAACGGTGTCAATACTTAAAGGTGCATTTTTTTTCTGCTTTTTGCATACTTCATAATGATATATCTTGGCCTAATACTAATTTTACCCAACCTCCCGCTGACATTTCGATCGTTTTTCATGAGCCATATAATTTTCAAGATATTGCCAAGACAACTATCCTATGCTTTGCATGCCATGGCGGTTTCAAATGTATGCCGTCATATGACACTTTTGCTTACAGCGATTACGCTAAGAGAAAGACAGGCAATACATCATCATTGGAGTATGACTTTCGACATAAGTATGTAAATTTCTTGTCGTTTTGGATGCCAAATTGCAAATGCCAGACGGATTATAAACTTTCTGTTAAAGGCGGCATCAACAACCAACTACAGTATATACACAGTAGAGTACTGCGGCCAAATATATTGGGGTATCGACGCTCGATGTTGAGTAAGAGGCTCTCCTCTTGGCTTACTGTGAAATGTAGAATATCACGGATGAAACAATTCATGAAAATGCCCGTGCAAAAAAAATCGTTTGAAATAGCGGAATATTAGTCAGTAATGATGATTATATAATAGAAAGTTTGTTATCCTGAATGTTAGACTTCAAAGTACTTAATTGCTCTGAATATAATACATTGTTCGCTACTTCAGACTTATGCAAATTATTTAATTAACTTATTGTGTGCTTTTAAATAACAAAAAAGATGTAGTATATATACTGTGAGAAGAAAAATTTTAATCACTAAGAGTCTACAGCAAAAAATATAATTGACTACTTCGATGCATTTTACTAATATTTTTGCTGCCAATAGTGTATTGTTTTGACGCGGTTTCAAATAAAATATCAAGACGAATGTTGTCTTACTCCAATTTTAACACTGATTGGTGGAATGTTATTATGTCTCGCGCACAGAGTTCCATTCAAGTGACAATCTTCACCGGTGTAACAAGAGGGCACTACAAGGGTCACAAATGTCATGTTTGTTTCACGTCTTGGGTATTTTTTTAGAAGTACTCTACCCACTAAATGCGAAGTATTGGCAAAAGATGCAGGGGTATCACCAAGGCAGCTATTCATCGTCTTGTACGTCGTGGTGGTGTCAAGCGCGTCTCTGGTCTCATCTACTAAAACACTCTGAGACCGAGAACGCCAGGAATCAGAAAATCCCCGCCACGGGTGTCGTCACCACACTGAAACTCCAGGGCTGTACATCACCCTGGGCAATGGAGACTTCCGACATAAGCTTGTTAAATAATTCGTCGTTTTGGAAGGTCAATTGCAAACGACGTGGGAGAATGTTAGACTTTCTTTTGTCACAATAATTGTGAATTAAATATAAATAGGTGAAATAATGAAATAACAAAACAAAATCGTTAAGTTATAATTAAAATTATGAGGTTATTAGTTGACGTCAAACTAATAGGTACATTGCGCAATTTGTCGTTGAACTCCGATACAAATAAAATAGCCATGCATTTGTACAGCCCTAAATTGTTACTTACAAAAGTTTTGTCTTAATTTCCTCACATTCAATTTTCTTTGTTTTTCAAGATATAATTTCTTAATCCCCCGACATCTTGTTTACCATCTGTGTAAACCTATAAACTTCCTGTCACACATTCACTGTGAATGATACTGTACAAGGATAGATTTACAAAATGAAATATAGTGACCAAATCAGTGTAAACACAATTTTAAAAGGATGGTGACCATTTTAATGTTCTTCTCACAGTAAATTTACCCATATAAACAGCCTTAGTTGAGCGCTGTAAGCCCACTCACACTGTACTGCTGAGTGTAGCATAGATTTAAACATGACGATTGTTTGTCTTTTTTTGCTTAGTGTAATGTGGCTGATGGGTGGTAAATAGACACAATAAGTTGATCTAACTAATGATAATGTCGTCTTTCGCGAGTTGGTGAACACCTACACATCGGCTGTTGTTGAAGAAACGTTTTAATCTTCAACAAGTGTCATTGTAACTAACATTACTCTAACATTTCGATTGAGATGGATATGGAGTCTTTCACCCTCAAGCTTTTCAAATGTGTGATATAGAAACACGTGTGTGCTTTAAACTGTAAGTCCACTGGCTTCAGGACACTTAATTCATTCTCAAGATTCTCGAGGACGTTGACGTTTAACGTTGAGTTATTGTATATTTTTCCAAAAATACTGTATTCTACTGGGACTATGTAACAGATCTGTGTTACCATCTTCCTCTCGTAATGAAATTATAATTATGACAAATTAATTAGCTAGGAACACAAACATTCTAAAAATCAACGAGTTTAACTGTAACAAATATTGCATTACGATAGAATGGATGAGGGATTGTTTTGTAAACCAAACTTTCCAACAATGTGACTTACAAATCTACACCTTCCTTTCATCAACTTTGTCCCACTGAAATTATGTGACCTTGGCGAGTATCAGACCAAGTAAACAATTGTGTGATTTACAACTGGTCACTACAATATTGTAGTTACGACGAAATAAACTCGGGAGCAAACAGATATTAGAAGTGCATGGCTTCAATTCGCTTCTCATAAATTTTCATCTTTTATTGTTCAAAGTTTACAAAATTTAACGAGCACCATATAACTAATATTTCTTAAACATTATGATGAGTGAACATGGTCTTTCGCCCTATTTCATTTCAAATGTGCGACTTAGAAACACTTGTCTGTCGTAAACTGTAACCTTACTGGCAATCACGCGATCATTGGTCAAAGTAAACAGTTGTAAATTAAATGTGTATCATACAATATTATAATTTACAACAAACTAAGTTAACTAGGCTGAGTATCTTATTTCTATTGCTCAAGTTTTTATATATGCATTTGAAATATTTGGTCATGAAAACCATTGAAACAGTTTTACCACATTCAATTCTTTCTGAGTGAAATACATATATGACTAATTGTTTTGCACAAACAAAGATTTTGTAATGGAACTGTTAGAACATTCGTGAATCAAATACATTAAGTGATATAATAAATAACAATTTTGAAAACTGGTTTCTTTCAAGTTAAATAATGCAACAATTACGATACACTCGCATTGAATTGAGCGTTTTTAAATGGCCATTTTATATAAATATTGTACAATATGTTTTAAAAAATCACGTAAAACAGTGTGTCCTTGAGTTGGGCGAGTATTAGGCAACAATTATTGTGTGATTTACAATTCGTAACTTCAATATAATAGTTTATACCAAAGTAAGTTGATTAGGTCATAGTATGCGCAGGCTGAAGTTTTACATATCAAATTCTGTTTGTTACAATAGTCGACCATCGATACCAATATGACAAATCTTCCACGCCTGTCTAACACGTTAATATTCAACACAGCCACTAAAGAGCTACTGATTACATTAACATATTGCAGTGTGATGTTGATGAAACAATCCTGGTGAAATATGGAATCCCATCTTTAAAACCATCACCATAGTACAGTTTTCCCATAATTTACTAGAAAAGTACTTTTTGACAGCATTTATTCGGTACGTTATCTGTGTTGTAAATTGCCCACGTTGACCTGTTATATCAACACTCCAGACTGCGCCATGAATATAATCTTTGTTTGCTTTACGATGCTTCTTTGCTTTACTGCCGCTGAGTATGGATCTTTTAATCTTACAGGTGCCTATAATTTATGTCACATGACGTTGTATTTTTTCTCCTACCGTTCCATACAACATCGGGGTGTCGAGGCCCCATTACTAAGTTTAGTTCATTGCTGATGCCTGTTCGTTGAATGTCTATTCACTTTCAGTCGTCTACTACCACACAAGTAGCTAGTCCCTCGCTACAATTCCACAACCTCATCAGTGTGTAATAAATCCGTCCACGTCGTCACCAACTCAGTGTTAATTCGAAATACATCGCCATTACCTTGAATATAGTTTAGCAGGCCTATTCATCACGAATTTATCAATACATATTTTAAAGGTTGTGTGCAATAATATCTCTATTAAACAAATAATAAATAAACCATACAAGAATGGCTATATAGGTACATAATGAATAACGAATTTAATAAAACTTATTGAAAACTTAGTTTGAGTTTAATTAATAGAAGGAGTAAAAACCAGTTCATAATAAGGCAACTTTCATTAGGATATACGGTTTTGTGAGTATGCCTATTCAATTCATTGAAGTAGTAACCAACAACGCGTACATTTTGTACCAAACCTGATAACACAGTTCTCTGTTCAAAATAATTTGCGGTATTTTGACTGTGCATTAACCTCATGTATGTTGGGCCTTTAGTGGAAAACCTAGGACAGTTCAGTAAACAGTCTACTCGACAATTCAACTCAAATAAACTTAATGACCTATACAGAATATACCTGGCTGCATTTATACGAGCTGTTTTACGGATTGCATACTTGGAAATTTACTACATAACCTTTGATCATCACGATAAGAATGTATGTATGTATAAACACAGCAACCTGGTAACAAAACAATGACATGTATTTTAAGAGATGACGACATTTAACAATTTTCAATCTGGATGCTTAACACACCGTTCACAAAGCAACACAGATCAGTAATACACAGGAAAGATACATGTGGTTCATCGATATAGTCACTAAGTCCGGACGCAGGGCAACAAATCTAGGCGGCACACAAAGACAATCGAGTTGTAATGCGCTAATCAGTCTCTCACTGAATAATAAAATCAGCTATCAATCAGCCATCAATCAATTAACAAAGAAACACAGGTGTGAATAAGGAGCAAAGACATGAATACATCAACAGTTCAGCACCTATGTTCACATCAGCTGACAGTTCACTCACAGTTCAGGTTGAGATTCACCAACTCTCGCTGCATTGATAATCTAGAAAATCTTGAAAAACAGCTGGAAACTTCGATGTGCTTATAGCCTTTG